ATAAAGGTGAGTGCCTGAGAGTAAGTGTGCAATAAATGCTAATTATTAACATTACTGCTGGTAAATGTTCTTCTCACCCATGGTATGCACAATCCTGTATCAGTTTCGAAAACGAGTTTCACAGAGGCCATAAGTAACTTGTCCATGGTCACACAACTATGAAGAGGCACCTCTCAAAGCCAAGTGTCCTCATCCCTCATCCAGTGACCTTTATACCTCTACTTTCTGCCTTTGGATCAGGGAACACAAAGTGAGGGCAAGATTAATGTGTGGTTGGGGAAAGGCCTGAAGGGCTTCCTGTAAGAGATGAGTCCTAACAGAGATTTGAAGTGGGGGGAGGAAGTCATTCCAGGGTGGGGGGAGGAAGTCATTCCAGGGAAGGGGTCTGTGATGAACCATAACCCAGCAAAGTGTTGGAGAGCCAGCTGGCAGGCAGAGGGTGAGGACTGGCAAAGAGGGGCCAGATCAGAAGATGAGCAGTGACTATAGGCATTCTGAAGTTCAGGTGGTGGAGTGAGAATTCCAGCTAGGGGACCGCAGGGAGCCACAGTTAATTATTTGAGCCGGTGGAGCACAGGGAGCCACAGTTCTTAAGCAAGAGGGCTGGTCGTAATGAAACATGACTTTGGGATGAAAGCAGGGAAAGAAATCTGCTTTTACTAAGAGTGCTTTAGGCCAGACAGGAGGTTGGGCATTTTCACATTTATTATTGCATTTGAGTCTCACAACAATCACATTAGGTTAGTATCAATGTTCCTATTTTACAAATGAGAAAACTTGAGGCCCAAAGAAACTGAGTCATAACGTTGAACCAGTGGTGGACCTAAAGTTTGAGTAAGATCAGCCTGACTCCAAATTCATGCTCTTTCCATGGCACCATGTAGTTTAAAGCTGTTCTCACTCTCAGAATGCCCCTTGTGCTGTCAGTGTCCCCGCCATGGGCTCAAGAGTGTTTTGCAGCCCAGACCCCCAGGGTTCACCCTGGGGTCATACTGGGCCAGAGGGCTTAGTATTTCTGGGACTTTGGGGGACCCCAGCACAGGGTAGAATGAGGTGCTTGGGTTCTGGGTCTGAAGAAATGGGTTTAAATCCAGCACTGAGCACTAACTGAATTTAGAGCAATGTCCTTAAACCTCACTGAGCCTCAACTGAGGCAGGGCAGCAGAATAAATCCTGGATTAGGAGTTAGGCCTGGTGTAGGTTCAGATCCCTGCTGGAAGAGACAAATGCCTGAAGAGGTGAAATGATATCTGTATTCACTTCAAAATAATGGTGGCAGGGGGAGGCAAGTTGGAGGGGGTAGAAAGGAAACAAGATTGGCCATGAATTGATAACTGCTAAGGCTGAGTGATGGGTTTCTGGGAGTCTGTTATACATTCTCTCTACCTCTGGGTATGTTTGAAAATCTCCATAATAAGTATAATAATATAATAGTACTACTGCTACTACTACTACTACTACTACTACTACTAATAGCAACAGTGATAACTTTTAAAAAATACCCAATTATGTCCACCACTTTCTCCCAGCCGAACCAGAATCTCTGGTTCCCAGGCATTATTATCCATTAAAATCTCAAGTGAGAGCAGCCAGGGCAAGAATCACTGTGTAGACTCTGTCACTCACTAGCTATGTGACCTCAAGCTACTATCTTTACCCGGCTGAACCTGTTTCCTCATTTGAAAATGCAAGTAAAGATCCTAACAGCCTCATGGAATCATTGTGAAGTTTAAATGGAATACTTAAAGTAGAATAATATGGGCTAGACATAGTCCATAACAGAGTGGGCAGGTCAGCCTGAGCTTTGCAGTCACATGGAGGACGACCCACTTCTCGCCTTGGTGGGTGAGGGGCCCTAAGCTCATATGTGCAGAAGAGGCCATCAGATGGGCTCGCAGGGACAAACCTGTAAAAAAAATGTTGCACACTTTCAAAGTACAGGGAGTTCATGAACTAGAGGAGCTTTTTCGTCTGTCTTTCCTTACTGTTAAACTACACCCAGCACAAAGACATGAGGATCACCCAGTGTCATCACCAGAGATACAGACAGGAGCAGGAGTTGGATGAAGGGAAGGGCCTTTCTCGACTGGCCTTGCCCCCTGGCTTCCTGGACCTAGCTCCAGTTTCTCCGTCTGTGTCAGAGGCGAGTTAAAAGATGGAACAGCCAATGGCAAGGGGTAGGTCTTAGGAAATAATCAGCGAATGACAGAGTGAATGAACGCTTGAATGTGTGGGGGGACCACTTCTGTATGCGAGACAAGGTGACCTGTCAGAGCCTCGAGGTGGTGCACGGTTGGGGAGGGGCCATAGCACGTGGGCCAACTTCTCTGGGATAGAGAAAAAGAGCAAGAGGAACAAAGCAGCAGAAGCTAGAGCAAGTGGAGAAGCTCAGAGGACATGGTTCGCAGCAGGAGAGGCGAGAGCAACTACAAGGGTACCTCTCCACCAAGCGAAAGCGGAGGAGCGGGGTAGCGGAGTGACCCCCGCAGCCGCAACCGGCGACCTGAGAGCACTGGCGGTGGTTTCCGGGTCTTCTTCCCGCTCCGCTTGGTTCCGCAGCGCCGCCTGGCGGACACGCCGCGTTCAGCTTGGGCTTCGGCAGCCGCTGGCCGGCGCTTCCGGGATCCCGCGGCTCATCTGGAGAAAGCCCGAGAGAGAGCCGAGGGGAGCTCGGTGGGGAAAGGCGTTTGTTCCCGGAGACGGGCTCACATCTCGGCCAGGACTCACAGCACAGACTGGCACCCTCTCTTTACTAACTCTGCGCCCGAGATGACTCAGTTCCATGCAGCACGTCGGGGAACTCTTTCCCTCCCTCGTCCCCAGCCTCCAGCTCTGGAATTTTGCTGCCTCTGAGTAGCTTCTCCGGGAAAGAGGTCGCATTCAAATTTCAAGACTTTTTGGTTTTGATTTTTGTTAATAAAATACCAAGAGTGGGCGTGAAAGCACGAACGTGTCCAATTTGTCTCACTGCGGGTCCCAGACCTGAAATTCCAAGGCAGGGGAATTTCTAGGTCCTTCCCCACCCAAGCGGGTGCCGGCAGGTGAGACTTAGTGGTCCAAGGAACCGTGTCCGAAGACGCGAGGCATGGGAGGGCGAAGCGTGTGGGTCGGGGAGGCCAGAGGCTCTTGCGGCTGGTGCCCCTGAGGGGGTAAGCAGGGCCTGGCTTTCACGTCCCAAGGCGTGGGCACTGGAGTCCTTCCGGACTCGGGCCGCACCACCTCTTCGAGCGTCCTCCTCTCCCGCTTGCGGGGTGTGCGTGTGTGTGTGTCCGAGAGCCTGGGGGACACAGGCCGCCCCATCCGCTGAGGTTCTCGAGGAGGCAGGCCCGGCCCAGCCTCTCAGCCGGACCAGAATGGGAGCAGGGCTGGGGCGTCCCGGGCACCACCGGACCCTGCCCTCCAACGGCTCCAGCTTGCGTTCCTGGAGTCGGGGCGTCCGGGCCTGAGGGTAGGAGGCTTTTCAGGCTGCCCCCGCCCGAGGAGGCGGCGGCCGAGGCTGGCTCCATTAAGTCTTCTCCAGGAGGAGGCCTGGGAGCTCCCCGCAACGTCCCGTTGGTCGCCGGGCCTGCCTTGCGTGCAACCCGGGAAAAGGGCCCGCAGCCGTGAGGCTGACGCTGGGAGGAGGGCGGAAAACCTCAAAGTCACCAACCGCAGAGCAAATGGCGGAGGGGGCCGCTCTGTTGACCTACTGAGGCCCGAGGTCGAGCGGCGGTGAGCCTCCCAAGGCAGCAGGGGGAGCTTGACGCCGAGGGAGGCCGGCGGCTGGGAGAACCCAGAACGGCTTGACGCCAGGGAGAGGGGCGTTCGGGAGAGCGGGCTCCGCGCCGCGACTCAGTGGTCCCGGGATCCCAGGACAGGCGCTGTCTGGGCCCAGGGTTCCCGCCGCCCCGTGAGGGCGAGAGCCCAAACAGCTGGAAGACCAGAGCTCACGCCCAGGCCTGCAGTCTGAGCTGGGGAGAGGGGAAGGCTGGGTTTCGGACTCCTCCCACCCCCCAAAAAAGATTAAGGCTCTTAACTGCATGGTTTCATTAGCGCTTCGGGCAGCTCAGTCCCGCCGCTCAAGTTGGGGAGAAGGGAGCGGTGCGCACCGCGGGGTCCTCGGCCGGACGGGGGGGGTCCCACCGCGCCCTTGGAGAGGGGAGCTCGCAGCCCAGAACGGCACCCAGGGGCCACCTGGTCGCCCCAGCTAGACGGAGAATGGGCGCCAGGACCCTCGCGGAGCCGAATTTGAAGGGGCCTCCGAGCGCAGGGCGCTCTCCTGCGGCGGAGACTGGGATACAGCGCGGGTGCAGACAAATCGGGACACGGAAAAGCAGCCCCGGCGCCTCTCTGCCTCGGGCCCGACACTGCAGAGAGGAAGGAGCCTGGGGGCGAGGGGGACTGGAGGTGGGTAGGCTGGCTGCCCGGTCTGGCCCTCTGCAGACAGAAGAAAAAGAGTGCGAACTCTCCCCCGAGAGGCAAGGTTCTGGCGCGCTCGCCCCAGGCCTGGGAAACAGGTTCCCAAGTGCCCTCGGTGTCCCAGTCTATCCCGGCTGCCCGCCGGGGACAGGCGAAGCTTGGAAAGCAGAGAGGGACAGTCGGCCGCAGCACCTCCCTGGGGCCGAGTCGCTACGGGCAAGTCGCCGCCCGCGCCTCTGCACAAAACGAAACCCAAACTCCCAAAAATCTCAAGAGGGAAATTAAAAACAAACAAACACACAAACACCTCCTTTTTCTTTCGCTTTCAACAAACAGGCTGTTGGGAGAAAAATTAAGAAGTGAGCGACAGCTAAGAACACTATATTTCCAAATTGCGAAATCCCCTTTTTAAAATTATTTTCCCCAAGGCCAATCTCATGACTGGCTAGCCATTCTGAGGACTTGGCCTCTTCTGAAAATCACAACAAAACAATCAGAAATGCGGCCACGGTCCCGGGAAGGAGTAGCCATGAGGCCCAGGGAAGCCGCTGCGGCCGAAACTGCCACGCTTTTCTTTCTCTTTAACCAAAAAATAAAAAAGATAAGAAGAAGAAGTAAACCTTTAATACATCAAATATACGGAATTTTAATCTTTAAAGCGATACATTGTCTATTATTTTAGTACATGACGTAAACCTTACTTGTCCCCTTCTCAGCGGGTGGACTTAAAAATTAAAAATAGTTGTGTTCCTTTTAAAGAACAAAATAAGGCAAATGAGGTTTTGGAATAGAATTTTTTCCTTTTTTTTGTTTTCTTCCAGAATACATACAAAAAAATACCCATTCTCTTTCGATGGTATACACCTTAAAAATAATTGCAATTTGAAATCAGAGCTGACAAATTGTGACTTTTTTCATTTTTTTGTAACAAACATGCATGTAAATTTGTGTTTCAATCAGACATTAAATAAGAACGTACAATACAATAATAGCAATTTTAAAGTAACATTAAAGAGAAGACCTCTAGTTCTGTGGCGGCTTTGTATTTATTTATAATCTACAAGGGACGGGAGGGTTTTTTTTTCCACATTTTTACCCTCAAGTTTTCATCCCCCACCCCCTTCCTTTTTAGCTACGGAGCTCAAACTAAATAATGCACTTTTGAATCACGGGTCCGCTTGGAGCTAACATAAATAAATACTAGTGTCCACCGGTGCAGTTCTCAGATGAACACTTTCTCAATTATTTTTTCCTTCTTTTTCTATAAAAAGTCAAATGATATTTTTTTCAACTTTTATAAAGTTTGGGTGGGGAGGTGAAAGTGGGGGAAGGTGAGTTTCCCACCGGGTCTCGGTCGCTGTTACGGGTGGATAAATACGGTATATATTTTCCTCGTTTCTTGGCCCGGGTCTTCCCCACGCGCGGGTGACAGCCGCCTCCGAGCTGTTTCCGCCCCTCGCTCGGCTCCTCCCCTCCCACCCAGCTCCTTTCTCTCCCTCGCTAGCCCTCCCCACTGCCCTCACTGATACCCCAGCGCTGAGGCCGTGGTCAGTCTCTGTCCGTAGAGGGCGTAGGGGGAGTAGTAGGGTCCGGTGGCGGCGGGCACGGGCACCGGAGCGCCGGGCGTGGGGAGCGGACTCTTGGAGTAGGGGTGGTAGCGGCTGCTGAGTCCCAGCGCGTGATGGGGGCTGCGCAGCGCTAGCGTCCCGGGGCTGCCCGGAGCGCCCGACGTGGGGATGTGCATGTGGCAAGCCATGGCGGCCGCTGCGGCACTGGCTAGAGACGATGAGCTGGGGTAGCCCGACAGCAGTTTGTCTGTCCCGGGAAAGGCCGTATGGGTCCGCAAGTGGCTCAGGAGCTCTTCAGACGTGGCGAAGCGCTTGTCGCAGGGCCCGTTCGCCGACACCCAGTTGCAGATGTGGGGGAGCGGGTCGTTAGGGAGCATGAAGCCATAGGGGTAGAGGGGGTGGCCGGCCAGGGAAGGCGGTGTGGCGCCGGCAGCTGCGGCAGCGGTTAGCGAAGAGTGCACGCCGTGCAGCGGGTGCGTGGGGTACACCAGCGGGTATCCGGACTTGAGCGCCGCTGCCGCCGCGGCTGGATCGTGAGCGCACGATGCACTGGCTGCCGCAGCCCCTGCCAAATGGCTGGCGCAGTGGTAGCTGAGGCAGTACGGGTCCCGGCACAAACTGGCTGTCATCACGGAGGGCGGCGAAGCCCCGGCCAAGGGGCTCGAGCCGGCCGGCTTACTGCAGCCCAGAGAGCCCGCTGCGGCTGCTGCCAGCTGCGCCCCAACCAGGCTGCCCGGCTTGGTGGGATCGAGCGCCACGCCGTGTGGCAGGAATTGGGGCGGGTAGCCGGCGTAGGCCCCAGCCAAGCTGCCTGGGTAGGTCATGCCTGCGGGAGGCAGAGGGAACACTGTCTGGCCCGGCTTGTAGGGAGATACGGGCGCCACCAGCCCAGAGCCCAGCACCGAGGAGGAGGTGGGCGCGCTGGGGGCCGAGCCGGAGCTGGAGCCGGATGAGCCGCCGCAGTCAGCGCCTAGAGCCTTGCCCCCAGGGCCCCCATCTGGGTGCTGGTTCACGTCCACATTAATTCCTCCACCGCAGCTAATCCGGCCGTGCGCCAGCCCCGTAGGTCCCCCTTCGGCCGAGGCACCCCCGGAGCCCTTGCTGCCGCCACCGCCGCCGCTGGCGTCGGGGTCTTTCTTGTCATCCTTGCTCTCGGGGCCGCCCCCGGCGGAAGGCAGCATGCCACCTGGAGAACAGGCCGAGGCGCTGGAACTTGGGCTGCCTGTCCTGGGCGTGAATGGCTGGCAGGTGGCGCTCGGTACCCGAAATCCGGACTTCTCTGCCGAAACCCCCCCGCCGCCGCCGCCGCCACCCCCGCCGCCGCCGCCTCCTCCTGGCTCCTTCTTATCCGAGCCGGGTTTGGAGTACGGCTTGAAACTCGACTTGTCCTCTACGCCGATGTCACTCAACTTGAGGGGGCCCGACTTTGCGTCCTTGTCACCCCCGGCGCCAGTGCCGCCGCCAGCGCCGCCCCCATTGGAGGCGACCGAAGAGAGTTTGGAGGAGGGCGAGGGGTCCGGCTTCCCGATCTGCGAGCATGTTTGCGCCAACAGCGCCAGCGGACTCTTCTTGGCATCAAGCTGTGGGGTCAGATGATGGGAGGGGGCGGCACAAAGAGAAAGAAGGGGAAACCTTTTAGAATCCTGGTTGCTAGGGTTCAAACGCCCTTCCACAACGGCCCGCCAAGATCCCCCCAGCTCCGAAGCGCAATTCTAGGCGGCATTCCCTCTACATACACACACATCCTCGCCCTTGAGAAGGGCGGCAAGTACTAGCCCCCTCTCCAAACCAGGATCTTCCCTGCCCTCTCTAAGGAAAAACTAGATTTTTTAAACTCACAAAATGTTTTGGTTTGTGATTCCTAGACCCAGAACCGTGCCCCCCCCGCCCCCCGCCAGACACACAGACACACACACACCCCTAATTCTTCAGAGTAAGGGCTCGGGCGGCTGGTTATATACAAATATCAGTTTCTAGGGAACCGGAGGGCTGCGACTTTAGAACCGTATAACGAACTGCAGTCCGTCTTCTGGGATAACGTGAGAGGGCCTAGGTCGGGGTAAGGACTTGAATACCAACGGGAGAAGTTAAGTTTTGCCTGCCGTGTCCCCTAGCATTCACGCCCCATTCTACCTAATACCCTCTTTCCGCTCTAGTTTTAAGGTGCGGGAGCACTATCCTCTCCCCCGATCCGGAGCTGAATCACTCCAACCCCCCTCCCCCAGTCCCACCCCTAGATTCCGAGAGAAAGAAATCCTGTGGAGCTGCAGCCAGGGTGGTGGTCCCAGCGCGATCCCGGGGGAAAGGGTTCTTACCTCGATGGGGCTGACGGGAGTGGAAGGTAGGGGCTGAAGATACTCAGGGTGCAAAATGTGGCCAGTCCGTGCGGTCAGCATCTTCAGCACCTTGATGGGCAGGCGGTTAGCCTGGCGGAGAGGATCAGAGGGGGGCACGGAGTGCACAAAAGGCTTGGTGCTGCCGGCCGGGGACGAGCCGGGGCCGCGTCCGGAGCTATTTCCAGAGAGCGCGCTGGTCCAGGCAGGGTCTGCACTGCCGCCGCCGCCGCCGCCGCCGCTGTGCTTACTGCTTCTTAGGGCAGAAAGCGAGGGCGCTGTGCTCATGACCCACCCGCGCGCATGGGAGCAGCGGGGGGAGGGCTCCGGGAGGCGCGGGGCGGGCTCCGGGCTGCGCGCTCGCCCGGGGAGCTGGAGCAGCCGGAGGAGGAGCTGGCGCAGCGGCCACGGGCACCCAGGGCGCCTTCTCGGCGCCTGGAGCCAGAAGCAAACAATCCTGGGTGGCCTGCAGCCGAGCCGTGACGGAGCTGGAGGAGCCGGCCCGACTGCGGAGTGCCGAGTGGCTCGCTGTGTCCGCCTCGGGCTGTGCCCCCTGCGCTGCGCACTTGCGGCCCGGCGCTGGCGCTGCGCTCTGCGATGTGAGCCGCTGCCTGTCCAGCCGGGGCTCTGGCGAGGAAACTCACTTCAAAAGCAGCAGCACCGAGGGGGAGATTAAAGCCTTTGCCGCCTTCCAATCAAATGGAAGCCCGAGGTGATTGGAGGGTCAAGGGGATGTGACGCGTCCCGCGCCGCCGCTGCCGCCGCCGCCAGGACTCTAAGCGCTGGTTTTAAGGGGCAGCTCCCTTCTCGCCGCCGGCTCCCCCGCCCCTCACAGGTCCCCTCCCTCGATTTCGCTCCGCAGACCAGCTGGACATTTATTCTACGTTTGGTATCTACCGCCTCCCTCTGTTTTCCTTTTCGGCGTCCTTCCTTTCCCCAGCTCGGAAATAAATTAAAACCTCCTTTTGCACAAGGGTGCACGCGAAGAACAAATCGAAGGGTTGTCCAGAAGGAGCACCGGCGGGAGTCTGGACAACAGCAGGACTGTTAACTTCAGGGGCGCACAGGTGGCCTGCACACCAAATACTACTCTCTCTTTAATTGAAATCTCTCGCGGCGCGATCGCCAGGGTAAGGAAAAGTGGGGAGCGGGTGCTAGAGGAAGTCCGCCCGCCCGCCTTGATTTCCTGAGATTCCGCGGCGGAGAAACCAGAAGCTAGGTGGGCAGCCGAGGCGGTGGCTGCTCATCTCTGCTCTCTGCGTGGGGCTCCCTGCCCTTCCCGGACACGTGACGCCCGGGGACGCGCAGATTGGGGCAGAAGAAGGGGTCACATGTTTCCTCTGTTTCACACTCAGCTCCCCCCGACTTCCCCGCCCCGCACTCCATTCTTACTCTTCCCTGCCACCCCCTCTTCTCCCTCTCCCCAGTTCTTTGGGCATCTCCACCCCTCCATCAATTGTCAATGTTCCTCGACCGCAATCAATCAGTTATTTGTCAGCTCTTGTCAATCCGCCCGTGATTTATGTCAGCTTTTGTTGCTGATTACAAGGCGGGTACGACTTGAAAAAGAGAGGGAGAGAGAGATGGAGAGGAAGGAAGAGACCAAGGGAGAACCGGAGGAGGGGGAAAGAGGAGCAGCCTCCAGGGATGAGGTTGGGGTGGGGGGCTAAGAGAAAGAATGAAAGAGGGGAAAGAGGCGCTCAGTGTCAGGAAAATGAATAGTGAGTGTACAGTGCGCAGGTGCACCCAGGACACTGAGAGGGGTGCACAGGCCTGAGGTGTGCATTCGCTCCTTTCTGTGTCGGAAAGATACACCGTTTAACCTCAGGGGACTTAGGCCCTTTGAGGCCTTGGAGCTTGGGGCGGCTCTGAGTACCGGAGACGCCAGGTGTGGACGTCTAACACGGGAGATATTTTACCCCCTGAATAGTCCCTTGGGGGCGTGTAATGTCAGAATGTTCGGCTTGCCATGTCGGCCTCGGACAACACCCTCTAGTGCCCGAACCCCCATATCGGAGACTTCTAAAAACCATACCACCAATGTAACCTTGAGTCCTGGAGTTCAGTGGTGGGGTACCCCTCTCAATTGTTTTACCTCCCCCCGCCTTCGGAATGTGGCTTGGGCTGAGAGGCTGCGAAGAAGAGGCCTGACCGTGAGTGTATGGAGGAGATAGAGGCTCTCACTCAGGCCCCCTCTGCAATCCTTCTGTGGCCCGCGACGTCCCCGCGGGCTCGGTAGCCCGGGTTACCCCCGGTTGCTTGCTCGAATTTATTTGAAAGCCGAGCTGAGACTGACCTGTGCTGGGAGAGCAGAGGGAAGGAGCAAGAGAGGGAGGGGGCTGCTGTCTGTGGGAACACTGGCTCTTGCTGGGAAGTGGAGCGGGACTGCAGCGTTCCTCTCGATTTGCACGGTCACTCGGGCGGTTTGGAAGGAAGTGGGGAGGCGCTGTGCTTGTTGTACCTGGATCTCGGTGCACAAGTGTGTACGTGTCCCTGTGCGGCTCTGTGAGTTGTCAGGGCTTTGGTAGCGTCTGGAGCGAGTTGGGGGTGGGGGGGTCAGCTCCAGAAACTTGCAGAAATGGGAAGGGGACACATCTTTCCTCAGATGGACTTGGAAGACTTTGAATCTCCCCACCTCCACTTTTCCGCCCGGCTCTTCTTTTGTTTTCAAGTCTTTTTGATAAATGGTGGGGCTGGGGGCGCAGGGAGCCAGGAGCCGTCTGTACCTACACTGGGGGATGGGGACCTAGCCTGGAGACCCGGTTTGGACCGGTGCTCACCCCACGCTGAGCCCCATATTCCTGGGTGTCTGGTGTGGGACCTGTCCTTGGCCTGTTCGCCCTCTCCTCTCTCACCATTCCCTCTTCCCGTTTTTGTCTCCCACTCAACACAGGTACTGAGAACTTTCTGGGGTGAGTTTTAGTATTTTCTCATAGGCATTCTTTTTCTGCTTTTTAATCTTAACCCTTGACTTTTTAGGTTGGTAAACTTCAAGAGATGGTAACCTGACTAAAGATAATTTGGAGAAGAGGGGAGTGAGTATTTGAGGCTGCTGTTTGTTGGGGTGTGTGCAGGTTCCAGGGGGTTCGGAGTGCCCAACTGTGAGACAGCTGAGAAAGGTGAGTCCGTGGGACGAAGAAGAGGCCGCACGCGAGGCTGTACAGGTTGTCCGAATAATCTTTGGGCAGCGGGTCCCAGGTGCCAGTTTCTGAGGGCCAGACAGTCCTAAGCTCCCTCTGCAGGGCAGCGTGTCTTTGAGGCCGCTTGTATCCCGCGGGTGTGTTACTGTCTGTGTCATTGAGTGTGTGGATGTTGAGGTGTCAGCATAGATTAACCGTAGAGATCCCAGCTCCGCCAGCCCAGTCGCGGGCCGAGTGTTGCCGCAGCCTCCGGTGGAGGCCCGGACACTGAAGGTTGAGGGTAGAGGCCAAAGCTGGAGGTGACCGCAGACTTCCTCTGCACACCCTACATTCCCGCTCCAGTCTCAGTTTTTTCCTTCTCCTGGAATTACAGCCGCTTTCTTTTTGCCCCAGGCTGCGGAGAGGGGCGGGCAACCCCAGCACCCTAAGCTTGGGGAACCTGAGAGTGGGGTCCACGTCCCCACCTAGGGCGTGACTTGGTGTGGCCGCGAGCGCTCGCTGGCCTGCGCCGTGTGGCGCGCTCGCGGGTTGTGGTCCGCTTGCATTCGCTCTTCGCAAAAGCCAACTCTGAAGGTCCGAGCGCACGAGGGCGCCTGGGGGACCGCGCGCCCCTGGCGTTAGCCAGGCCCAAGTATCCGAGCCTGCGCACCTCACGAGGGAGGCCACATCCCCGAAGGCCATTCAGGCTGTGGCGGGGTGGGGGAGTTATTAATTACTCCGCGCTAGGCCTAAAGAGTCCAGCCCCCAGAGGCGGTTGGCGTGGTTGTCCTGCGGATTTTATTTGTACACAATGTAAATGATTTGTTTTCTCTAAAAAAAGGAATGGGCATGGCAGATATTTGAGGAGAGGGTGGGAGGAGAAGGAAGGGGAGAGAGCTGAGGAAAAGTTTGAAAATGCCTTGAACTATTCACTGTCGAGATGGCTAATCAGTATTGAGGCCGGAGGGCAGGCGGGCCGCCTTTCACCGCCGCTTCCCTTTCATCTCGGGCTCGGCGGAGGCGCTCAATTAAAAGCCTATCAGTTTGTAAGTAAATCAACGCCTATCAGAGTTGTCACATCAAACAAAACGATTATTATTGCAGCCCGCCTCCCCTATTAATCTCCCTCGAAGATAATCCGCCTGACAGGTCAGGCCTGGCGAGCTGGAAAGCCTGGCCCAGAGCGCCCAAGTAGTCCAGGACTGGCGCGCGCCCCTGGGGGCCTCCCCACCGGAGTCCCGCCCGTCCTTGTGGTCCCCCGGGAGGAGGGAAGAGAAAGAGCGAGTCGGGGCTGCTGGACCCAAGCCCGCCCCTCCCGACTTGGAGCTGGGGACCAGATTCGCCGGGCGGTGGAGGACGGTCCCGGGCGGCCCTCGCCTCTCGTCGGGGCCGCAGAGGCGCCCGACTTGCCACAGTCACCGCCTGGCCTGGTCCCGGGGCCTCGCCACGGCCTGCAGTCTTCTTGGCTAGCCATCCCTGGCTCTCTCTTTTTCTTCACTCCCTTCTATTTTTGTTGTTTTGTTACCTCTCCTGCTTCTTTCTTGGCTCACTTTCTTCTTTTTTTTTCCTTTCTCATTTCTTTCCTCTTTTCCTACCTGCAAGGGAAAAATTCCTATTCTTTCTCCCTCCTTTCTGTATACCACTTCGGCGCAGTCACACTCTCTGAAGCTGGACGTTCTCAGGGCCCAGGTTATTCCTCTGGCGGCAGGGCTGCCACAGGAGCGTGTGCAGTTCCCAGGAACTCATGACAGCGTCCTTCCTAATTTCTCCCCAAGCGAGGGCTCTCAGAAACTCTGCGCCGGTTTAATTTAATGGTTGGGTGTATTTGGAGTGGTGAGGAGAAAAGAGAGACCAGAGCATTGAAATGGGGGGACCGCTGCAAGCTTCCTATTCTGGAATTAGCATTTTGTTTTGGAATCTCACAGCTGCAACGTTGCAGATTTAGTGCGCGTGCTTTGCAAAATGCAGACAAGACTCCCTGGGAAACTGGGCCTCAGCACTGACCTGAGTATGTGAAGGGGTGACTAACATTTCACAAATAAATTTCACCCAGATAACTGTTTCTAGGGCCTCAAGCCAGCGCTTCGCGGGAGCAATTGTGGCCTTATTGTGAGTGGACTGCCCCTTCGCACCTTGGGACCCCTCGGAACCAAGAGCCACCCGCCCTTTTCCGCAAATTCATAGGCCCAAATGGCCATTACCTGAGCCCGGTGGGGCCAAATTTGAGGGATGGTTGAGGTGTCTGAGGGATTAGGGGTGCCCGTGGGAATCTCAGGTCCTGTTACTCTTAATGTCGGTTCAGCGCCGGGCGGAGGCTTCCTTTCCGTACGTGTATCTGGCAGAACCCCCGACCCGGGGCAGTGTTGGAGGTCCGCGCCAAGCCTCTCCCAGAAGGCACGAGGGGTCGGAGGCAGCGGATATCGAATTGAACCTACTTGAGCGTGCTTGGCGTCCAGAGCGGCAGTACCCGAAAGCACCCCATCCCCATTTTTGTTCAGTTTGCACAGCAGATCTGGTAGGAATATTTATTGCCATACCCAGAAATATTGTATCTTGGCAGTGGCTGTCATCTGCGCTCCAGCATTTCTTAAATTTATTTATTTCACCTCTGCCACGCAGCATATATTTAAAGAGATACACATACCCTCAACGAGTCTGAACTCACTCAGGCTATAGGAAATACTCCCTGGGTGCTTATTTGACCATAAGTGCTATCTCCAGCCTACATTTCACACAAGCAGGGGCTGTAAAAGACACTTGCTTTAGAATTTTTCCAACTTAACCGTATGTGCACACACCAAAAACTTAATCTTTTTTATCCCTCTATAGATGTAAATATCCAGATGTGATGTTATATGCCCTTGAAACCGGAAGCGATCTTCTGTTCGCAGTGGACACGAAGCTATTTGTATAAGATTCATATCCCTGCACTTCCACATGAATCTTGATTTAATAAATTCAACCTTGTCATTTTTAGAATCGACGGGATTTTCCTGGCTGCGATTTGTGCTGCCCGTATCCGAATTAATCCAGGTCGCAGGAAAACGGCGCCTGGTTCGCCTGTACGCAGTCTCTTCGGCCCAGCGCGGGACGCGAAGTGGCTCCTTGGTGTTCGTGCGACAGCAAGTCCGGCTTTTTCGCAAGGCTGGACTCTCAGCGCCCTCAGACCGCGCGGCCCCTCGCTGCCCCGCAGTGCCTGGCAGTCCCCACCACTGGCCGTGCTTCGGGAACCGCCGGGCTGAGTCTGCCCGCGGCGAAAACTGAAAGCAAATACGGCGGCAGACGAAGTCTGAACTTTCTTCGACGCAAGTTTGCAGAGATTTGGTGGCAGCTTTGTGAAGACAGCGTGCTATTGTGTACACGCGCAAGGTGGGGCTTTAGGAGAAGGGGGCACCGGGCGGCCGAGCCTGGCCCGAGGCGAAACGCCAGAAAGGGCGCCTCCCCTTCCTTATATCTCGCCAACTCGTCGGCGCCTGTCCGTAAAATAGTTTCCAGGGTGCAGCAGACGCCCAGGATGTATTTGTGGGGGGTAGCACCAGGGAGGAACTGGCTTTGTAAAAGTTGCATAAAGAGCTTTGCCCAGAAGCGTCCGTCCAGCCGGGCTCAAGAAAGCCAGGGACCATCTCAACTTCCCAGAGGCGGAATGGCCAGACATTGGCTTGGGGAGCCCCCCTTGCTCAGTTCTCTCCCCTCACTTTGAGCCCGCGCCTAAATAACCTCCCGCCGCCTGCGCTGAAACTTCCTGGAGCGGCGCCGCGGCTGGAGAGAGAGGCCTGGATACAGAGCCGGCCCGCAAGGCCATTCCTCCGCGCCCTCAGCCCCAGCCCCGAGAGTGGCAGGCGGGGAGGTGAGAGGACCGGTGTGGTTCCCGCTCCCACTTGGCTGCTCAGACCATCGCCGCCGAGCTGCCAACTCCTGGGAGCGGTCGCTTCCCCCCCGGGAGCAGTGGTCTTGAGCGGTTGGCAAGGGCGCAAAGTGCGCGCGGGGAGCGGCGCGCAGGGAAGGGGGGCTGCCGCGGGTCTCTCCACGGGGCCTGTCGCCGGGCCGGCCGCGGCGGGTGAATGATGAGGGCAGAGAAGGGCGCCCATAAATCGCGGGTGTCAGGGCGAAAAACTCTCTTTATTGTCTCCGTGATGGATGGGCCCGGGGACGAGACACCAAATACTTCGTATCGCCTTTAAATGGGAACACATTTTCCGCGGCCATAATTCATGTTTTTTAAATAGAAAGTTTGAAATGTTGCCTATATTTCACAGGCCCTGACATATTTATGAATCGCTCCCTGCATGCAAATATCATGATTTAAAGCGCCGGGGAGAGCTCGGGGGAGGGGAGGAGGCGCGGCCCCCGGGGTGTGGGGGTGGTGAACCGGGGAAATGCCTATGGGGTGGGGGTTGTATTTGCTTAAACTGCGGACGCGGTGCGGGGGAAAGCCGTATCTAGAAACCTAGTGCACCGAGGGCTCCCCTTCCGGACCCCGCACTGCGAAACCGGGAAGTTTAAGCAGCTTGGGGCTGACGACAGGTCCTCGGCCCCTGCCGGGAGACCAGGGGGCATTTTTTGTCCCTCTCCCGAGGCCCTGATCCGAGCCAAAGCCACTTTTTAAGAAGGAAGTAAAAATAAAAAGAATTTAACAAATACTAACAATAATAATCCAACATGTTTCTTGTTGTTTGCCACTGTATCGATTTTATTGATTTTCATTCTGCATACCTCAGATTGTGCGTGCCCGGGTGGGGCGACTGTCAGGACGCCAGTCACCGCGGGAGTGGGGGGATAACTCTCCGGTGCTGCAGCCCCGACGCGCCCCACACAACCCGCTCACCTCCCAGGCACAATGGAGCCTGCGCAAGACCGGGACTCCACTGATCCGGCCCCCCAGCCGTGGGGCTACAGTCCCGCCCACTCTGCTCCCCAGACTCTGCGGCACTCCTGGGATCTGCGTTCCCTCTCCCCAAGCCCCACTGTCGATACGGCTGCTTTGGAAAAAACCCGGGCACTTGCATTCAGCCTTTTCTCTGCCCGTCCAGGCTGGAAGGCACCCACACCTACGCCCTCACTTTCCGAGTGTTTACCTGTGCGGTCCCCTGCGGCGCCTGCGTCCGCGCCGGTAACCGAGGACTGGAAGGGAGGACAGGGGAATGGGAGGGACAGAGAGCACTGCCGGTGACATACAGATACGCACACCCGGGGCCTTCTCTTCGGAATTGGCGTTGGGGTGCCGGCCGAACTCCCTCCAACAGCTGAACTGCTTGGGGGAGAGCCGACCGAGGAGAGGGCGAAGGGAACTGGCTTCCGAAGGGAGGGGAAGGCCTAGTTGCACTTCCGCTGGGGGCGGGACCGCGGGCTGCGGTACCAGCTCCGCCCCTCCGCCGCGCCGGTCCGCCCCCAGCTCTCCAGGCTCCGCCTCCGCCGCTGGGCTGTGGCAACTGAGGCCCCAGCTTCAGCCCTATGTCTGCGGACAACCCGGGTCTCCAAGGAGGGCAGTGGGCGGCTCCTTTCTCCCATCTGGAGTTCTGCTTTAGTATTTTAGAATCACAGGAACACAAGCACATACATAGTAGCAACCTCAGCCCCGCTCGCATGTAAGACTTTGTCAATCTTTGATCCTTTGGTGGGTCCTGAGACCTGACCGAACCAGGGGATCTCAGACCTGCCCTGGGATCTGACCAGCCGCCCCCTCAGACAGCAGGGAATGTATATCCGTGCTCACAGGGTCCCACCTATCTTTCAGGAAGGAAAAAACAAAAGCTAACACTTTTTGAGCATTTGCTTTGTGCTAGATACCAAGAACTGTGTATGAATTATGTCCTTACAGCAACTCTGAGGTAAGTACGATGAATTCCCTGCTTTATAAAGAAATTGAGTCCCGGAAAGAAGAAATTGGCCTTGCCTTACTCTCATCTCATCCTTCCCTTTTTTTCTTCAGATGCCTAGCATCCCGGCCCATAACTCTGGGGGAATCTTGCTGGGCTTTTATTTGCCTTAGGGGGGGAGTGTCCAGCTGGCCTGTTACCCAAATCTGCTTGAAGCCAAGGCTTAGCTGAGCTGGAGGAGGACTTTCACAGAGGAGGAGAAAGGTATAAATGGGATGGGCTCAACTCAGCTCCTGGGCAGCTCTGGGCCTGATGGCAACATGGGACCAATCAATGACCATCCCCCGTCGTTGCCTATAATTGCTGCTGAAGCTAGAGTGATTATTTCAAAAAAGCGTATCAGATCAGGTTTCTCTTATGCTTAAAAGCTTTTGGGTTCTCATTGTTCTTGGGATCAAATTTAGCCCAGGACTGGCAGGTCTCTGAGGCTTGATTTGCCTCCACTAGGCTTTCTGCGTTTGCAGTCTTCTATTCCTCCTCCCCTGAGCTCCTTGCTGTCAATGGATGCCTTTTGGTTACTCAAATGTGCCATGATGCTTTCCACCTCAGGACCTTGCTGATGTTTTTCCTTCTATTTTGTGTGACCTTCTATCCTCTTCACCTGGGTCACTACTCCTCTTTTTTTCAGGTCTCATCTTACACACCACTTCCCTGCACCCTCTCACCTGGTACTGGGTTAGGGCTCCTGTAACCCTCTTTCAGAGCATTTACCACACTGGGGATTTCCCTGTTGAGAGTCTATCCCTTCCCTGGAGGGTAACTCCAAGGTAGCAGAGGCTTGGGCTAGTCCTTGAAGGGATGAATGAAGGAAAGAGCATTTATACATACCATCAGTTGTGCTGAATGAATGAAAAAATGAACGATAATTTCACTGCACTTTTTGGGCCACCAGTAAGTATTCTCTATGGTACTGCACCCTAATATTTTCAATTAAATAAGGGAGATAACACATATCATGAAAGAATAATACTTATTTTGAGTCTCTATATTATAAATATCAAATAAGTGTATGCTCTAGGGAATTAAAAAAAGAGATACGTCTGTGGTTTTCCAGCCATTTAGTCAGATTTTCAAAGTGCAAGATGTGCTGACTGACACAATTTAATGGAACTCCCCTCCCAACCCCATGGCCATTCCTCCCACCATTCAGGAATGTACCTCTCAAGGTTCCCGCCAGAGCTCCCTTCCCTCTCCCAAACTTCACATATTATTGCTATAATAGTTCACTTCTTTATTAACCTCTGAGCTGCTGCTACAAGAACTTTGTATTTGTTAATGTACATCTTCAGCCTCCCTTGCCCCTAATCCATTATTCTACTCTTGCCAGGATAATTTTCTTGATCGCATCATTTCCTTGTCCACAAAAATCTTCAGTGACTCCCCATTATTCACATGAAACACCTGACTCTTCATAATCTAGTTCCAAAATACTTTTAAAAAGCTTTGATTAAAGTACAATCCAAAAATTATAAAAGAAATGCACATTCACTTCAACCAGCAAAGCACTCAAAAATACAAAAAAAAAAAAAGAGAAACCATCATTATCTCATCCTTCTCCTTTCCATTTCCCACCCAGTCTCCTGATGTACATATCCAGTGTTAACAGTCTGGGGTGTAACTACTTCTATCCCTTTCTCCACCCAGCTTGTATATACTATAGTCATATATATGTGGCTATTATATTATTGCTTGTTGATACAAAAATGGTTACATTAGTGATACCTGCAACTTTCTCATTCTCAATAACAAATGTGTCTATAGATATAAAGTTAATTTATTCATTTTTTAGCTGTATAGTATTCCATAGAATGGATATACCCCACTTACTCAACCGTTCCCCTGTTGATGGTCATATAGGTTGTTAACAGGTTTTTTCACTAACAAAATTTATTGTGTCTATGCCCTTGAAATTAATGATTTTATTTCTGTAGGATAGATTGCCAAAGGTTCAGCTGTCTATACCCCAGGCAAATCTAATTTCTCTATTCTTTGCACCTGCCTGTGTTTTTCTACTTCTGCTACCTCTTTCTGGAAGGCCCTTGTTCCCCATGCTTCTATGTCCAACTTGCAATCCTGCAATGCCCAAATCTGATACCAGAATTTAGATATACTGTCCAATATCCAACTCCCTCATTCTTTCTAAGCTTAACATTGTAGCAATGTGTCAGGCCTGGGCAGTATTCATGATTGATGTAAGCAAATCATGACAATACTTTTTTCATCTTCCCAATCATCCTTGTGGCTAGGGATGGTCATGAGACCCAATTTTGGCAAATGAGGCACAAGTAGAAGTAAGGAGGTGGCAAAGCAGGAGTAGGAGCATTGGGAGACTTTCTTGTTTTCCTGCTCAGTGGAGATGTACCGATGTTCTGACCCTTATCTTTCCCTTCTTTGTTCTTCCTTCCTTCTGTGAACTTGAATATAACATCTAGAGCCATAGCATCCTTGTCTTGTGACCATGAGGAAAAATCCAAGAAGATAGCAGAGAGCCCCTTAATCCTGATGGCACTGGAACACTGAGACATTTCCAGTAATCAGTCACTTCCAGAACTTTTGTTTTATTAGAAAAATAAAATCCCAATTTGTTTAAGTCAGTGAAATTGGGGGGTTTTATATTTGCAGCAAAATATCCTTTATCTGCCCCTTTGGCAAATCTTATTCCCAATGGTGGTAACAAAACAAAACAGTGGTACAAAAACATTTTAGAAACCTATTAGAAACTTGCCTTCCAACACCCTGAGGGCTGGCTTTGGTGTTTTAAATAGCCAGAAGTCACTTGGAGTCAGTTCTGGCCATCACTTTAACCCTCAGTGTTACTATAAATTATTTAATGGACATGTAGTGTTTTGTTTTGTTTTTTAAACCTGTTTTGTCTGCCTATCATCTGAATCTCCTTCCTGTTTGTTATAATGCAGGGCCTGCTTCCATCTATAGAAGCTGAAAGGGCCACATCCTCCCTCTTGTACCATCCCACTCAAGGCTTAGCTTTTCTTCCCTTACCTCCATCAGAGTAGATCTTAGTGCTTCAGAATGTGGTGGACTCCAGAGTTCAACTGCTTGGTTCCAAAGAATGGTACTGCCATATTTTCTAAACATGTGACTTGGGGCAAAGTTCTTAAAATCTCTGAAGTTTCAATTTCCTTCTTTGCAAAATGGATGTGATAATGGTACCTATCTCATAGGTGAAGTCAATGGGTAAATTAAATAAGACAGTGCATGTGCCTGGCACGCAGAAAGTGCTCAGAAGGGTTGTTGTCATCGTTGTTATTATAGTTATTGTTATTTCCCCCCTGTGTTCTTTCTTACCTTTGAACCCCTGCAGTGCTGTCTGTGCTGCTCATCTGGCACTCAGTTATCTACTAACTGATGATATTTTTATGAGCCATTTAAATTCTTACTGTTTAACTATTTAACTATGTGTTTGTATGTGTGTCCAACTTCCCAGTTCGACATCCTTCAGGCCTGAACCAGATGTCTTCTTTACATTCCTAACAGACTAGTAGAGGGCTAAGTAAAAAATAGACATGAATAACACGTATTAAAACAAAGTGCTCAAACTTTCCCAGTGCCTGTAGAGGCCTTCACATCCACTGTTTCTTTTAATCCTCACAACAATTCTGTGAGGCATGTGTTGTTATTCCCATTTTACAGATGAGGAAACTGAAGTTCATAGGAGGAAGTCGGTTGCCCAAGTCCCAAAAGTCAGAGTTCTTTCCTCCCTCCCAATGGCCTCCTTCAGTTTTCAGGAATTCTGGCGGTGACTCCCTCCTTTGCCCTAACGCCCAAAGATTCTTTCTCTGCTAGCCCAGGTCAGCATCCCCACCAGCTCTGACATTCTTTCCACGTGGAAAGAGGTGAGGTGTTGGAGATACATCATTAAATGAAAAAAGCTGATTATGAAAGAGCAGGGACATGCGTATGTCCAGTTAATACATGTCCCCTAGAAAGCACACTGCAAGGGTGTCCCTGTGACCTAGGGAGTAGGATTGAGGGTTATGGTAACTTTCTTTTTCTCATCTGTAGTTTCTACATTTCTAGAGAAAAGAAAATACGAATTTTGTTTGCTCATTTAATGGAGACTCCAGAACTCTCTTCTCTTCTTTGCTCCTCCCAGTTCCCTTTTACTGAAAAATGTTCCCAATCAAGGCAACCTCTCTCCTTCCTCCCTCCCAGCTCAGAGCCAGGTGGGCAGAGGCCCATCCCTGGCACTTATTAGTCACAGGTTTGAAATGCAGGGGAGGGTTGGGGAGGGAGGAGTGATTGGTGTGGGGTGGGGATTTAGGGATTCTTTTATCCCCTGCATCTCAAAGGCTGACAGGCTCTTGAGGGGTGGAAATGACTGGTAATTAGTGAACCTTCTCTGCTGCACACACTAAAGACACACTTCACAGTCTCTGTGACCTCTTGCAGCCTGGTGAGGCTTTGTTATGTAGATGTTCTTAATTGGGTGAGTCACTTACTGCAAACAGCTTTGGGAGAGAGCATCCGTGGGCTGTTTCAGGGAGGCTTTCTACCAGGAGTTCTCCCTCTGGGACTGGGGGTCTGGCAGCAATGGTCTCTTAAGTAATACCCCCCAACACTAGAAGTGAGAAGTGGCCCCCACGGTTTGCAGTTGGCAAGGTGAGCTTTTAAGGGGAGTATTAAGCTATGGTCTCCATCTTCTCCCACTCTCTCCTCTCCTTCCTAGTTTAGAGATCACCTATTTTGGGCAAGGCTAGGAGTAATTTGTGATATAAACTGGGTTCCCTACATTCAAGTAGCTGAGCTCCTAGCTGGGAAATTGGCTACAGATATAAATGTACATAACAATGCTAAATAGCAGACATCAATGCCAGGGATCGAGATAGGCTGTACAATGATGTTCCAGATCCTGAGCAATCACTGAGGGCTGGAGCTTTGGAGAAAGCTTGTTCAGAGGGGTGAGCAGGACCTGGGACGGGTTATGGGGAGAGGGGTTCTCAGAATGAGGAGGCTTGTAAATAAGGGCATTGCCAGGTCACACCCAACATCATGGCCCCCAGTACAATGAAATTGGCTCAGATGTCAGATGCACAGAGTGTGGTGTGGGAAGACTCACCAGCTCTTCAAATGTGATGCATTTACAGAATCACATGCTGCTATTGGTCCTAGAGTGTCCTATCTGCTGCTTCCCTCCAGAGGAGGGTGTAATGCATGTAGACTTTTTAATCATATCAAGTCATCCCCCCACCCCAGTCTGTTATTTTGGTGAATGTCACCATCTTGGCTCCTTCATATTTGTCTCCAGACAACAAGTTCTAGCACCTGGGCTCCAGTCTCTGCACTCTCTCCCTTCAGGCCCTCTCCACCCTTTGTGTGGGGTTGGATGCACTTTCAGAGCCTGTGAGGACATTTTTCCAAAACCATTCTCCCCCCTCCTAATCGATCTTCCCCACAACTGTCAGACCATTGCTCTAAAGCACAAATGTAACCACTTAATGCCCATTGTGCTCAAAGTGAGGCCTACATAGCTCTTTATGACCTGGTCCCTGCCTACCTCTTCTGCTCTCTCCCCAGCTTCAAGGTCACCAATGACTCCCTGGTTGTTATATCCAGTGATTAATTCTCTGTCCTCAATTTACTTGATCCTAAGTAGCCCTGGACAAATTGATCATGGCTTCTCCCTATTATTTATTAACATTTCATTTATAAAAATTTTCAGAAAAAATTAAAGAATAGGATAATGAAGGCCCAATTCCCTTCACCTAGATTCATCAGCTGTTAACACATTACCACACTGGCATGCTCTCTCTCTCTCTCTCTCTCACATTCGCACATTTTTTTTAACCATTTGAAAGCTGTAGGTATCTTGATCTTTACTCTTAATTTTTTCAGCTTGCATCTCCTAAGGAAAAAAAATTCTCATTTGAAACCACAATACAATTAGCACACCTAAGAAAACTAGTGTTAATTTAACATCATCAGCAATATCATCAACTGGTTCAAATTTAAACATTCCCAATTGTCCCTAAAATGTCTTTTTAGCTCCTTTCCCCCAGTTCTGTCATCCAATAAAGGGTAATGCATTGCTCTTGCTAGACACATCTCTTTAGTTTATTTTTACTAGAACATTCGTCCCTGCCCTCTACCCCCCACTTTTTTTCATGATACTGATGTTTTGGGCAATTTGGCCCAGTTGAATGGGATTTCTTGAAGAGTGTTCCACTCTCCGGATTTGTCTATTTCCACAGGAGTAGTTTCTGGTTAAACATTTTGGCAAGAATAGCATTAGGTGGTGTACACTTCCCATTGTATCATGTCAGAGCCCATATCATCAGCTTGTCTCACCCTTGGAAATGTTCTGTTTGAGCTCTTGGGTAGGATTTGATCACTAGATCTCTCCACTGTAAAGGTATATTTTGCCCTTTGTAATTCACATGCAGTGTAGGATGATACTTTGAGACCATGTGAATTTCCTATTCACCCAATGCTTTCCTCATCTCCTGATGATACTTGGCTGGACTGGTCATTACATTGGAACCCCATCTTTTTTTGTCCATTTTCCCTTCTTGGCTTCCAGGATCCAACTTGCTTTTGGTTCTTCCTTACCTGACCAGCTGCTCATTCTCAGTCTCTCTGAGTATCCTCCCTTTCCCCTTAACTTCTCACTGTCAGTGCTCTAGGGTTCAGTCTTCCCATCACTTTCACCCTGTCTCATGGCTTTAAACACTATCTTAAAAAAAAAACTGAGGACTCCCAAATTTCTAGCCTTTGTCCACATCTGTTTCCTTAACTCTATACTCTATACCACCTGCCTCCTGGAAATTTTCTCTCATATGTCTCAAAGTGATCTCAAACTTCTCAGGTCCAGAAGTGATCCCCTGGGGCCCCCATCCCTTGATTTGCTCATCCACTTTAGTGTGACAATGCCATCCTTCCACTTTCCCAGGCCAAAATCTTGGAGTTTCTCTTGACTTCTATGTTTCTCATGCTTCCTGTGGCCAATCCATCAGAAAAGTCTGTTGATGCCATTTTCAAAATATATCCAGACACTGTTCCCTGTCCAATGATTCCTCTAATAACCTGCTTGTTTCTGCACTTCCTTCTCCATGGTCCATTCTTAACACAGCAGCTAGAGGAGTCTTCATAAAATGTGCATCTTCTCCTTAAGGCTCCCCATCTCCCTTGGAGTACAAGCTCAAGTTTTAACTTAAGTTTGTCAAGTTCTAGATGATATCCCCCTGCTTGCCCCACACCCTGCACCCAGATTTCACTTACCATTACTCTCCCTTTTAGTCACTCCACTACTCTGATATCCCTGCTGTTTCTCAAACCTGCCAGACACCCTCCTGCCTCAGAGCCTTTGCACTTGCTGTTCTGACTGCCTGGAACATTCCCCCCATAGATGCTCACCTGGCTCTCCCTCTCTTCTTGCAGGTCTTGTCTTAAATATCACTTTCTTAGGGGGCCTTCTCAGATCAGCCTGTCTACTCCTGGCACTTCTTTATCTGCCTTCTCTGCTCTGTTGTTCTCCACAGCATTTATTACTAGCGAACATACTCTGCATCACTTGTTTATTTTTTATCCTCCTATTGAAAGTAAGCTCCACGGGGTAGAAACTTTGTTTTTTTAAACTGCTCAGTCCCTTGAATTTAGATTATTGTCAAGCATAGAGAAGTCACTCAGTAAATATTTTTTAAGTAAATGAATTGAATGAATGAATTTCTAGTACCTCAACATAAGCTATAAACCTTTTGGGTTCTAAGTACTGACAGTCTAAAATTTCTACATTCTCTTTTGGGTACTGGTAGCTATGGCAGTAGATGGGAGACCAGAGGGTGCCTCAGACTGGGGTTCAGGGCTCAGGCCACAGCCATGAGATGGAACGCATGAATTCGGCATTGGCATGTGTCTTATGTATCTGTACATTTCACATGTATGTTTGTGCGCTTTTGTGTGTCTGTGAGAGTCTGCGTCACTGTGGTCATGTATAAGGTTTAGTGATTCCTCTGTGTTTTCTTCTCCAAGAAAACCACAAATGCTTTATGAAACTGTAGAAATTCTGTATGCTCACAAATGCTTCTGCTTCCAGATTTTGGGTACTGCAGACATAGTGCCTGCATCTCGAGGCTTCAGCCCACCTGTGCATTGGAGCTGAGGAGCAATCCAAGCCTGGTGGAGTAAACCTGGGCTACTCATCTTTCTGGCTGGGGTGACACTGTGCCCTTAGAAGCACTTGAGTTCAAGTTCTCTATTCAAGCATCAGTAAAGTGGCAACACGACAACATGAGACTGAGAGAACACTGGTAGGTTTTGTATTGCTCTTCCCTCTGCCTGGAAAACCCTTCTCCTTGGAGGAGAAAGACTGCCTGGAAAACAGTCTTCTCATGGCTGGCTCTATCTTACTATTCAGACTTCAGCTCAAATGTTGGTCGCATTAGAGAAGCCTTCCCAGAACACTCCACAGCTGTCTGAGGCTGTGCAGTTTGTGCATCACAAGAGCATTATGAGTGGGGCTGAAGTCCTGCCCATGCTCTGCTCATCAGGGATGTGACAGGAGAAAGGATCTGAAGGACTAGCGGAGACCGTGGACATTTCTATCTAAATTAGCATCCTCCCCCAATTACCCATTACCCACCCCATACTGTCTCTCACATTGTCTGCTTTTATCTTCATAGCATGTGTCAGTGCTCTCTGAAATTATGTATTTCCCATACTTGAAATTATATCATTTATCTGCTTGTTACCTGTGTCCTCCCACTGGAGTGTAAGCCTCTTTGTAATAAAGATTATTTCTGTCTTGTTCCTTACTGTTCCGAGTGCCTGACATAGTGCCTGTCCTATCCAGTGTCTGAGTAGGTGCTCAATAAATATTTACCAATGGTGCATTCTCTGTATTTTGAGGAGATGTGCATATTTACTTATATTTTTATTTAAGTAACAAGTTTCTCCTTAGATCAGTTAGGACATTTAAGGTCCTAAAATGAGGACCTTAGGAGTGAAAAGATTCATCCCCAGGCATCCAAGTAGTTGGCAAAGTTAGGTCTTGAGTCCAGGATTCCCAGGCCAGGGCACTGGCCACTACAAGGTTTGACCAGCAGCTCATCTGATTCACAGTCTCTGGTGCTGGTAGTGCCAGGTGGCACTGACCCTTGCTTTGCCCCTGGCTCAGAGCTGAAAAGAGAGCTGGGACTCCTTTTAGAGAAGTGGGAAGAGACTATGAATTAATATTGGTAAATCACACCAGAACCCTCATATGTACATTATTATTACTGCCCGCCATATATTTTAAAATAATATCTGTAAATAATTATAAAAATAAATCTCAGTGACAAATTTTTTATTATTTTATTTCCAGGAACACATTTATTCATCATAATCTCTAGGTAGGGCAAATTGGAGCATTGGGTAGTGAATACAATTTGCAAATAGGCAATGTAAGTAGAGAGAAAATTAATATGTATTCCTCAGTGCTCTAAAAGGAGAGGAAGAACATTAACAGCCATTTCCTTGAAGATATAACTTTGAAAATGTTATTTCTGATCCATCAGCATGGGGCTCCATATGAGGGAAATGGTTACAATGTGACAAGAGGCGATTAGATGTGAAATGGTATCTTTCCGTTGCTCCTCCCCAGTCTCTCACCCTGTTCTTACTGGCTTATAGGAGGAGTCCTCTTTCATTTTCTTCACAGGATCAGAGTGTTCTGGCCTGGGGGGATCCATTCATTTGCTGGATGACCTTGGGCAAGTCCCTTCTACTTGTTAGGCCTTAGTTCTTCCTAAGTAGTTGGAGCAGATGATTTCCAAAGCAGTGCATCTGGATGATCAAAAATCCAAATTACTTGGGGTACTGGAGAACAATACAGATGCTAGGGCACCGCTACTGAAACAGAATCTCATTTGCTGAGTTCCACATATTTTAATTGAGGTTAGGGTAGGCTCTTTAGCCTCTAAGTGGCAGAACCTCTCCAAGCCAAGGTGGGATTCCGGAAAGGTATCCGGCGCTTAGACACAGTGTGTCTCTCCCGTGGCTGGACAATACAAAGTTGAGCAGGTTCTTCACGTAAATGTTGCCTTTCTTTCTAAAATGTCCAATATAAGCAAGTCAGAGATGACTTCCCTCTTGAACTCAGGTATAAACTTGAAGTATACAGCAAGTTTCAGGCAGATTGGGGAAAAAGATGTGTTTTTCATTACTGTTTTCAGGATTTGTGAAAATAAGGCTGAGATTAGCAGATAGAAATTTCAGTTGTGAATTTTCTTTTCCTTCCCCCTCCATCCAATCTCCTCCTTTCTTGTTTTTAATTACAAAAGTAGTATATGCATGTTGCAAAAATCACAAAAGAAAGGAGTAGTGTGAAAAGCAGAAGCCCTTTTCCCAGTCACCTCCAAACTTGCTTCCTTCCCCTCTCCTTGCTAATGTTTGCCTATTAATAGGGAACAACAGCAGATTCTTTTTAAGATCCTAAGAGAAGGGAACTTGGAGGAACTGAGAACTAATAATAATAGTAATATTAATTATTATTATAATAGTAACCAAATGACATTTGTGCAATGAATACTCATGCCAGACATGATTGCATTTAATATATATATTTAAAAATTTAAATTGTTCAGTTGGGAGATCAGGGAGGTGGTTTGGAGCAATGACCATGCTCAATCCATGCATGTATAGGCAAATATTGCAGAGAGAGCCCTGGAAACCTCTCCTCTTTACTATACTTCCTAAAATCCCTCCTTTAGACTGAAAGGAGGCTGTGTCAGCAACAAAGAGCATTTTGTATGCAGACATGCAGATTAAAAAAAAATTGAAATCTGAATGTGGTGAGTCTGAACTAGGGGCTGGGGCATGATTAATTGCAGCAACCATCTTAACCTGTCCAGGGGCTGGGCCTGAAAGAAAGGAAGCCCAGCTGAATAGAAATTCTGCTAAGGAACACTAATAAAACTTTGTTAACTGGCCCTGTCCTCTCAGCTGCTGATGCATAGAGTTGGAAGATTAACGCTGCTTCTGGCCGACCCTAGAATCAACTTCCTTGATTGGAAATAAACAGGATCTTCCTTTTTTGTCCCCAGGAATGTGAGGAAGAACTCTAGGGGAAAGAGCCTTTTCTGCCAAAGAATAATAATAACAAAGATGACAGTAGGAATAAAATATTGCTCTTTATCAAGGATGATAAGGAAATGTCCTGTTTTATGTGTTAAACCTTCTTACTCCCCATATGCATATGTAAGAGCTCCAGAGTTCACAGGCCCAGGATTTCCAGCCCAGGTCTGATTTGAAGTTTCTGTGCTGTGTTCCTCATGAGTACACAGTAGAAATTGGGTGGCATGTCTCAATTTTGGGTTCAGAAAATAGGCTCACAATCCCAGATCTTTTTGCAAATATATGAGCACAGATTCTTCAAGGATATGTCTTAGTCATATGTCCCCTGGTGCCTAGCACAGAGCCTGGTCCTTGGAAGTGGAGGCAGAGGGGCTGTGGAATCATGGTGTGTGGCGGGGGAGCCATTTCTCAGGTAGCCATGGAATAGGGTGAGGGGACTGGGGAAGAACCTGGATGACTGCCTGAGCTGTCCCCTTCCCTCAGTGTTCCTGGAGCAGGGACAGAAAGAGCAGAGTTCAAGAAGCCCCAGGAAGACTTGTCTCCTTTGTTTGTTCCTGTAAATGGAATCACTTTGTCCACCTCCTGGGCCAACCTTATCTCGGCATTCCTTGCCCTCACCTCTTCCTAAGGGAAGGCCACATTACCTGAAGAACTTTACCTTTTCTATTTCTATTTAATTTTCCTTTTGCTCAAGGTGATGTGGACATAGAAGGATATCCTCTACTCTCCTCTTCCAGTCTTCCTTGGTACAGAGATGCAGATTTTCTCCTTCTCCTCCCCTGTCTCTCTCCTTCTCCACTCCCGCTCTTCCCCCTTCTTGTTCTTCTGTAAACTAACTTCCAAAATTTAAGGGGAGCAAGGAGAGGTGAGTACAGTCCCTTTCTGGAGGAGCCCCCCTGCCACTACATTTAGCAAATTTCTACTCTGCTCAATAACTTTCAGTTGCTCCCTATTGTCATCATTTACTCTTCAAACACTGAAGCCCACTTCAATCTGACCTACCCTTATTTTTTTTGTGATTTTCCCAGTTATCTTTTCCCTATAGTCAACTGGCCTCTTCTGTGTGTTCACTTACTTAGTGGTGACAAGAGTGGATGGGGAGGCATTCTTGGCAAAACCGACAACTAAAAGCCAAGTGAGGATGGGAGAAGTGGGGAAAGAGGCAAGAGAGGTAAGGGTTGATGAGATCATAGAAGATCTTGAGGGTACTAGAGATTTTAGACTGTATTACTAGTTGATTTGGAGCCATTGAAGTCAATGGAGGAAGAACTCCAGATTCAAATTGGGCTTTTAAAATGATCACCTTGGGGCTACGTAGAGGAAGGGACAGGGAGTCTGGAAAGGTAGAAAAGATCCCAGCCTGCCTTGGCATCACTGGCAGATAATGGCTGCATAACAGTCTATGCTTAGAAGACAAACCATGTTTGGAGGCAAGGGCATGGATGAGATCACCATGGAGCACCCTGCTCCTAGGGAAGGGATGGGGGTTCCAATTTCATCTTTGAGTAGGTTTAAGGCTGTCTCCACATGTTCTCCCCTGCTGGTCAGAGCCCTTCTAGGGTGAAAGGTGCCTGGGCTGGGGGTGGGGGGATGCTGAATATCATGACTGTCAGGGTCTGGGCCCACTTCTTCCTTTTCAGGCAGGAAAGGCAGACAAGAGTGGACAACAGACCAGAGAGGGTGCATCCAGCAGGAAAGGAGGGAGGAGTGTTAGGAGCTGGTCCATGGGGCAGTAGACCTTGGAAGATTCCCTTTGATCCCCCTTATCTCTGGAGGACAAGCTTTCTTTGCTGGCCTGCAGGACCTTTTGTTGCAGCACTTCCTGGAACCCCCCAAAGTAAACACAGCCAAGCCTGTGTTCTTACAGCTCCACTTTGCTGTATCCGCTTCTCCCAGCAGGGAGAGGGGCAGGCTGGTCAAGCCCTCAGAGGTCAATACTGCTCATCAGAAGGCAGAAAATAAGGGCCCACATTACAATGTGTTGGCACCAGGCCTGAGAGTCGATGAGAGCCACAAAATGCTTAACCACGATCATAATTATTGTCATCAGCCACGCAACCAGGGGTTTCTAAGTGCTGTTTAGATATACGGAACAATGATACCCTCCTTCACAAAACGGGGAGCTACAATTATCAGTAGGTCTGCTGGGTTGAGGTGCCTGCAATGTGTATGAGACCTGGAGTCTGGCATGTCAGGACTCTGTTTTCCTTTCTTTATTTGAATGGTGTCTGTACCCACTGGAATGAAGGGAGCAGGGTGGAGAGGGCAGTGAAGGCTGGCCTGGCTCTGAGATGCAATAGAAGACATGTGGTAATATGATAGCAAATACGTTTCCGGTAGAACCTTTGTGCAGGCTGGGATGGAGGTACGAAGGCAAAAGGAGGCATGGAGAAAATGTGGATCCTTGCAGTTGAGGACAGGCATGACTTTCCAGTTACCTGGCCACTGGGCCTGGTTTCTTTCAGACAGGAGGCAGGAGTGGCCACTTTTCCCTTCCCTCTGAGTGGAAGGTGTGTGTGTGTGGGGGGGGGGGGTTGCCCCTGTGGATGACTTTGAGCCTCACTAATACCTATTCCTTGTGAAGAGGGAGAGAGTAAGAGAAGCCTGAGATTTGAGGACAACATTTGATTCTCCTTCCCCAGGATTTATTACTGTCAACTGGGGAGCTTAATTAGTGAGCCAGCACTTTATTTTTAGGGAAATTCAATTCCTCTCATTTCTCCCTACAGGTGTCTTTTCAACCTTACCCCACCAGGTGTCCTTTCAACCTCTCACCCCACCCCCCTTCCCGCAAAGTTGGGGAGGGGAGTTCCAACCAAGAGGCCCCACCCCCCTGGAGCTGAGGACAGTTATGTAATAATCTGTATTGTGACATATAGTAAAGGCCTCGTGCCCCCTGCAAACGGCGCAGTTGGGGCCTCCCTGATAGGAAGTCCTCGCCCCCCAAACTGAATCCCCCATTAACACAGCATAGCTCTGGGGACAGAGTTTTGGGGGACTTCCTAGTCTTCTGACCCCTCATGGGGTGACAGGGGCCTGAGACACCCGGGGGACACGGGGAAGTTCAGGGGTCACTTTCTCCCGCTAGGACGCAGACGCCGCGGGCCACCTGTTGCGGCGCGCGGTGGAGGGTGCGGATGCTCACCTGCGCGAGAGTCGGCCCCGGGACCTTGGGCGTGCGCGCCGAAGAGCCGAGGTCCTCACGCCCGGCCAGCCTCGGGCTTCCGCCGGGTCAGCTGACCGCTCAGTGCGGAACTGTGCGCTCGGCCCGCGCTGCCAGCCGCCGCCGCGCTCCGCGCTGGGTGCCGCGCGTCCGCCCCGTCGCCATGGCCGGGCTCGTGGTCAGTGGAACTCAAGTAAGTCCGCCCCGGGCGAGCCCCGCCTCGTTTGGCACAGTCGGTGCGGGTAGAAGCGCCGCGGCGACGGCATCCCCAGGTTAAACAGGGCTCCCAGCTCAGCCTCGGGGCTGCGCCTGCGGTGGGGAGTCCGCGAGTACCCAGGCCTGCCCCAGTTCTGGGAGGACGGAGTCCGTTTGGGGCCTGGCCCACCCCTGGCCGTGGGCGGCGAGGGAGAGGCCTCCCAGTCACCCAGGTCCCCTCCACCTCTCTCTGCCCCTAGTGCTCACTGATCAGGACTAGCCGGGCCAACGTTTCCGTCAGGCTGGATGGCAGTGCCCACAGCCCACATGGTACTTTGAAAGGGCTCTCGAAAAAGTTTGCCTTCATAATTGGAAGAAAAAAATAACTTTGGTCAAAATGTTTTAATATATTCGTCTTTATGCCAGTGCAGTTTTAAAATGTAAGTTTTAGGTTTAGGATTTTTTTTCTTTTTTTAATGGAGGGAGGAGCCCAGCCCATAAAGGCAAAAAGTTCCTAGTGAAAATCATGATGCACCCCTGTGGCCTCTAGGTTGGGGGGCTGTGCTCCACACTGGCTCTGGCTCCTAATTATAGGTGCCTTATCCAAGGCAGGTAGATGGCTACAGTCCTGCAGTCTTATTTCTGCACTTGGCTCCTTGAACAGGTAGGTGTCTGTGGGAATGGCAACACCCCAGTTTCAACCCCGAGTGACAAATACTGAGCTTCATTTGCTTTCAGCCCTGTTAGCGAAGCCTCATGTGTTGCTAGTCATTGCTGAAGGGCTATTCAGCCACACTGGGGCCAGGTGCTTTTATCTGCAGGAAAAGCCAGGTTTCTCTCGAACTTGATTAACCCAGCCCTCCTTCCCACCTTTCCCTGCACATCCTAGAGAAACAGTTCCAAGGCTTTGAAGCTCTCCCCTTGGATTGCTTAAGGCGGATAGTGTCAGGCACAATTAAATTTTGAGACTACTTTGGGCTAAAGGGAATGTCTTCTAACTCCTCAAGAGTTCAGAAGTGATCAGGCCAGGGAAGTACCTCTTCCGGAGAGGTTAAAATTGAAGGGTCTTATTTAGCTGACAGGGAAAAGGGGCTTAAGGGGAGTTACTATGGCTGCCCAGAGGATGGGACTGAAGGAGAGGGTCAGGAACGGCCCTCATGTCCCCAGACACCAGGTCTGTGCACTTTGGGCCCTTGGAGACTGATTCAAACAGATGGAGCTGCTGGGGAGGACCTGAGAAGGCAGGCTTCTGGGGAGTTAGGGCCCCAGTGTCTGAGGCTCCTAGGCCAGTGCATCTGAGTGGCTGTCCCAAGGTTAGAACCTCTTTTAGCATTTTGCCCCTTGCAGTTTTAATGGCAGCCGTTACAAGAGGTAGTGCCGTTAATGTGTGTCACATGGTATTTCTCAAACTTTGTAGACCTTTCTTAAAGGACAAAAAAAAAACTTCCCTAGAGCTTATAGTGTTGTTATTGTTTTTATTACAGAGTTGCTTTAATCTACAAACATAGAACCAGGTAAAACTGTTTTCTAAGTTCATCTTTAGAGAACTATAAACCCCTAATAAAGGGATGGTTTAAGTGCAAAGAAAAAAACCATAACACCACTAAAATTAAAATAAACAATTTAATGAGATGGGTGGTGATTTTTTGCTGAAACTAGGTCAATGCTTGCAGTGCCACTGAGTACTGAATGCTGTTGTCCTGGGTTTTAGGAGTTCCACAGGCCTATAACAGGCCTCCCTCCAGTATTCTCTATCAAATCTTTCCATTTAACACGTATCTTCATTTGGTCTTCTTTTGGCTTGAATGCATCATTTATATTCAACATTAAGTCCTCAATACTTTTTTCCACTAGTTTATGACCAAGTAAAGGCATCAATGCAATTGTAGACAAATGCAAATTTGGAATTTGGGGACTGAAATCTTGTGCCCAAGATACATCAGCATAACAAATCCCTTCCATAAAGATACTACTGGTCTGATCAGCAATGGCCACTAATGCCAAGGACAGTTCTGTGTACTCTATCTCATTCCTATGGGTAAATTGAGGATAATATGTGACACATAGGGCTATTTCATGAGGATTGAATAAGCACTTAATGTGTGCTAAATTATTCTTAATACCTTTGGAGGCAGTTAGTGTTAGACTGGTTTATGGAAGAGGAGACAGTTTCCCTGAGGTTGTGACCCACCCAAGATAACAGCCAGTAAGCAGCTTGGGGACCCAGACTCCTGCCTTAGGACTGTGTCTACTGACAGAGCTGGAAATTTAAATCCAAAGATCTTCCCACCCTGGGTAGGGCCAGGCATCATAAAATAATCTCTCAGTCTGACTACTGACACACCCAGCAGCCCTAAAAATGTCCGGGGAGTTAGACCATCCCAAACGCAGAGAGAAACCAGCAGTCTTCTCCAGTTTGGTAATTTCCTGCAGCTTCTGTTCTGAGGGGCTGGGTATGTGTATGTGTGGGAATCTTGTACAGACATTCCAGTTTTTCTCTCTGAGGTTCCACTCTATAGTGGTCTTTAACTTGATATATTTTTATTCATTTCCCCAATAGAGGTATCCTTTTCTGTTGTCATTCCACACAGGGTGGAAGTCTTGGAGTACAGATTATATAAGGTTGGCAAATAAAAAGTACAAAAGTTGGTTCCTCAGTTCAGTCTAAATCAAGATAATTGGCTAAATGCAATGACTTCTCTATCTGGATGTGTTCTTCTGTGCCCTTTAAGAATTATTCTCTACATCCCTTCTAGTTTGCTGAAGAAGCGAACTATTTTTGGTCTGGCTCCTTGGGCCTTGATTCTTGCATTAGGTGGTCCTGTGCTCCAAGAAGCTTCCTGATCTCCTGAGAGGTATTGTCTTCTACCCAGGAGCACCTCATAAATAAGTCTCTTTTCTCGCTGAGCACTGGTTGCAATGCCTGGCAGTAGCTGCTTGCTGCTTTTAAGCCTTTTCTAGCTGATTTGAATCCTTCAATGTGGTCAGCTTAACTCACATCTCTAAAAGCTTCTAGTTTATCATTGGGGTGGTCCAGGCATGCAGATGGCTTATCAAGTTGGTTTGCACACTAAATATTGGTCTTTGTGTGGCCTGGGAACGGGTTGTACTTTGTTTCATTTTCCTGGGATATTTGCTGAGATCCTGTAATAAAGCAAGCTGATGAAAGTCTTGCCTGACTCTTTGTAAGAGATCTGAATGCTTCATGTCGATAGCTCTTCTTGGAGCTCCTACTTCCTCTGGAGGGAAATCCTACAGAAGAAAAAGGGAGCAAATATCCCTCCTTTTTCCAGGCTCTGACACTCTCCTGGGGGGCCTGCAACATGGTATCATGAAGTGGTTCTTGACCTTTCAGCTAAGAAGACTCATTTTAAAACCAAAACACAAGGATAGATGCACCATTGGCATTGTTGATCAAGAAAACACACGTCCACATGTGGATTTTGGAGCACCCCATGGCCCCTGAGTTGAAAGACCTTATTTCTGGTGCAGGACGTGGTCCAGGCTCTATCACTAAGAAGCTGTATTGCACTGGGTCTCTGGAGTCTTAGTTTCCTTGTATAAAACATGAGGCGTTTTGACAAATTGCGTTCCCACTAGATTTAGTCCTTGGCAAGTCTGAGGGAAGAACTCGGTTTCTCTGAAGCTCAGCTTCTCTGGTGTTATATCACATGAATCTTGACTGGTGATGACATGTACAAGATGGCAGTGCATGCTGGGGTGGAAAGGATGGGTTTTCTGGTGAGCACCATGGGCCTGCAGGTCAGTGTGAACTTACAGAAGCTGCTGCTGACTGAGTGGGCATCCTGAGGGAAATTGAACTCCCTAGATTGATTGGGGCCAGTCTGTCCTTGGTGTGTGATATCCATCTCTGATTGGAAGCACAACTTAATTTATTACACAAGGAGTTCTGAGGAAAGATGGCTCCATGTAGAGAGGAGAGAGACTGCTGGACTGGACTTCAAGCCCTTTACTTTTTAGCCTGTATCTTCCTGAGTCAGATTTTTTTTTTTTTTTGAGAGGGCATCTCTCATATTTATTGATCAAATGGTTGTTAACAACAATAAAATTCTGTATAGGGGAGTCAATGCTCAATGCACAATCATTAATCCATCTCAATCCTAATTCTCATCAGTCTCCAATCTTCTGAAGCATAACGAACAAGTTCTTACATGGTGAACAAATTCTTACATAGTGAATAAGTTCTTACATGGTGAACAGTACAAGGGNCAATCAGGTCAAATATGAATATTCGTTTGATTTTTATACTTGATTTATATGTGGATACCACATTTCTCCCTTTATTATTATTATTATTTTTATTTTTAATAAAATGCCGAAGTGGTAGGTAGACGCAAGATAAAGGTAGAAAACATAGTTTAGTGTTGTAAGAGAGCAATTGTAGATGATCAGGTGTGTGCCTGTAGACTATGTGTGAATCCAAGCTAGACAAGGGCATTAAAACATCCACAGATGCAGAAGATTTCTCTGAGTCAGATTATTTTATTGGAGTCAGCTACTTTTCTGTCCCTTCTCCTCACTTTCTCTTCTCCAGGAAAGAAGTTACTGGAGAGTAAATACAGTATACTGTGTTGTCAGCAGTTGAGACATGACTTGAAAAACTGAGGGTTTTGGGGTGAAATATGTATTAGGTTGAGCCCTGTGAAAGCTGTTTTTGTAGTTCCACAATGATTGTCTATAAGTAATTCATATGTAATATCTGAGGGCATAAGATGGCCACCATATTCTTGTTCCTCATGAGGGGTTTTGACAAATTGCGTCCCCACTAGATTTAGTCCTTGGCAAGTCTGAGGGAAGAACTCGATTTCTCTAAAGCTCAGCTTCTCTGGTGTTACATCACATGAATCTTGACTGGTGACATGTACAAGATGGTGGCGCATGCCGGGTGGAAAGGAAGAATAACCTCCTGGGTATAGTCTTTCAGTCATTCCAAGACATCCTTGTCTGTATGTGTTAGAAGAATGTGGATTTGTAGGGGGAAAGGATCAAGGCTGTAGTCATTTGACAGGCCTGGATTTCTACCTAGTGGTTGTGAGGAGGTTGTCTTGTAGGGAAATACCAGGTATTGTGACCCACTGGCTAATTCCACCCATGGATTTGTTTTACGGGTTTTGGAATTAGTTGCCAATCCAACTTCAGGGTGCCATCTGTAAAAAGAGATTTCAAAGACTGAATGGTTGGGACAGTGAGAAAGCCCTCTGACCTTCCCACAGTCAGAAGTCCTAGGATCAAA